AAGAATACCGGCTCAGTTTATGGGCATCAGGTAATGATTCTGTATGTGATAGTGACTAAATGGAGCCATAATAATCATAAGAAAGGACTAAAAATTATGTTTAAAGTGTCTGAAATTGTGTCTTATGAGCTAAAGTTCGCTAATTTCGCCCTCCATTACCGCGTTTTTAGCACGCAAGCCGGTGCGGCGGCCGCCGGCGCACTCGCCGCCGATGTTTCGGAGCTCCGCCACCAGGGCGGCCGCTTGGTCGCCGGCGCTAGTGTTGGGGAATAGGGAGTGTCCTATCCAGGAATACTTCATCCATGACATCGTCGTGGCACGGGTCGTAGATAGACCCAGGCCACCGCCGACGGGCCGTCGCGGGGTACGAGCTGAGAGTCTGGGAACTAGAAAGCCAGTCAGAAATAATTTCGATAAAATTTCATCATCTGTGAAAACAAATAGGCACCAACTAGTTTTCTCAGTAATTCAGCCAGCAGTTCTCGTGCTGTGTTCAAAGTGACATTTGCAATGAGGGTCGAACTTACTAACATTAAAGGGACCCTCCCACCTTCAAAAAAGTTAATGAATTGGCATGAAAGTGATGTCGCTCGGTTCAGAAAGAGCAAAAACGAATATCTACCAAATTTTATCGAAAAATATTCACCGGTTTTCAAGATATTAGACTTTTACTTTTGTTTACTTTTGGGATCTCCGCTGTTCCTAGCGACTTTATTTGAAAGGGCGGCATTTGTTGCGCGCAAAGCAGCATATACCACCGCGTGCTACAGAACGTTTTAGTCAAACATTTAACGGACGTTCGAAAGCCTGATGACGTCATCAGATTCCCGTAATGGTTAAGAGATAGGGACCACGCTGGTCCCACCCTGCAAGTAAAGGGAAGAAATTTCTTGAACACCATAAAGCTGCGGGGGTTGCGACCAGGATAAATGGTGGTTTCTGAGCCTGGCCGCAAACTTGGCTATCTCAACTCAAAACTAATGTTAAGATGGGAGGGTCCCTTTAATACCTTGGTCAAATCATTGCAGTGTTTCTCACTCTCAGCCCTCCCGCTCCCCAGCCCATGAATCTCCCACGCCGCCCCGCACGTTCCCACGCGGGCCGACTGCAGGCCTACGCAGATTGTCTCACGGCCGGCAGTGGGCGGAGCCAAGATGGGGCCGCCGCACTGTGATTGGTCAGCGCTCCGAGCCAATCGCAAGGGAGTCAGTTGAGTCACCGACTAAGAAGGCTGAATGCACTAAGTTTAGGTATATTAACCCTCGCCCCGTTGGGGGGGGGGGCCATTTTGGCCCCCCCCTGTGGTTTTTCCTGAATAGCAAGAAAACGGCGGCGCGCAGCGCCGCCAAATTTTCAGTACCTTCCCGGGCATCAATTTGACACCTTCACACCAAATTTCAAGTCTTAGGTCACCTTAGGTCAGGAGTTATTGAGGTCAAACTGAGGTCATGTTCGAGCAAAAATGAGCAAAAAACATGCAATCTTGAAACGCTCACCAAATCTACAGTTATCAAGCAATTTCAAAGTTCTTTATATGATCTTGTAGACAAAAAGCGGCGCTACAAAACTGCTATCTCGGATTTTCAAAATTTTTGGTTTTTGACCAAAAAAAATTCAAAAAATTGATTTTTTTAGAAAAACTTTGAAAAAATCCAAAAATTTTCCGAATTTCGAAAAAACCGGAATATATGTTATAGTCCCAGCGCTCTTCTATATACATACCAAATTTCAGATCGATATCTCGTTTTTTGGCCAAGTTATAGCGAAAAAACTGTTCAAAAATGATGACGTCAAATTTTTGAACTCAATTTTTAGCAATTCTAGACCACGTACGGCAAAACAAAGACCACCATTGAACTCCCCGTGACGAGCTGCATCGATTCGATACCCATTTTATGCAAAAATATTAACTTTGAAATTTGACCTAATTTGACCTGACCTTGACCTGACCTTGACCTGACCTTGACCAAAACGTGATCTAAAATGGCCCCAAAGGCTGCCTGACCCATATAATCGCATTTGTCATGTAAAATGGACCATAAAACATGTATCACACGACACTTTCATATTGTGACCCCCCGTGACCTGACCTCTGTGACCTGACCTGGTATCAGTGACCTCAAATAGCAAAATATGTGTTTGAAGAACATTTCCCCATCGATGATTTTCAATGAAATGCATTTTACTCGATTTTACAACGCATTTCTTGAAGTGCCTGTAAACGGTGAAAATTGGACCTTTGACCTGACCTGTGACGTCATCGGTTTGACCTAGGTCAATAAAATTTGGTCACAAGGTAGTTCCCCGTTGGGGCTATCCAACGCCGTTTACCGCTTGTCGCTATGTTGCGTGGTTCTCGAGATCTTAGGGGGGGGGCCAAAATGGCCCCCCCCCAACCGGGCGCGTTGCTCGGCAGAGCCCAACGGGGCGCGGGTTAAAGGAAAAGGGCCACCTTCGTGAAATATGAAGATATCGTTGTTTTTCATTTTGACATTATTATTTTTCATTTTCTTTTTAAAACTGGTGCCAGAAGTGCACAATTCGCGAAAAAGTATTTAAAACTATTTAACATATTGGTACTATGTTGATACTCTCTACGGCACCTACTGTATGATGGCATAGCGATGACGTCACACTTAAGCCAATCAGCGTTCAGAAGACAGACTCGTCGGATTGTGTCAGATAAGCTGATTGGTTAAAGCTGAGCTGGTTGGAGCTGATTGGTAAAAAACCAAAGCCTCGCCGCGGGTGGCTGTATTGTCGGATAAGAACGCATTCCTGGGATAAGGACGCATTCCTGGCGTATTTTCTTTTAAAATTGCCGATAACTACGAATGGAGGCCGAAATCGGCCGTAAGGAGGAAGACAGGTAGGTTTTCGGACACGGGCTACAAGATGGCTATCTCAGTTTCAATCCCCATGTTAAAGGTGGCCCTTTTCCTTTAATATACCGTTACATTCCAGTTCCTTGTTATGTATAGGTACCTACCCAATTATCCTGGATAGTGGATAATTTGTATATTTTATGTTCTATATCTTATCTAGTTCACGAAAATCCGAAAATCTATGAAAGCTATAATTACAAAGCATTGATATTTGATAACTAACAATGCAAAAATAAAAAACAGCATCTTATGAGCTGCAATACGTCCTTCGCTGCGCTCGACTCCCTTTGCATCACATCGGGCTTTCTGATTCTGTTGTTGGGACGCTCAAAGTCCATACCTAACGCCCTTTGTTAAAGTTATTAACTGTCCTTTTATGGTCATATTTTAATAAAGACGTCAGCCGGAGTAAAAATAAACACGATTTCGCATGTGCCTTGTTCATTATCGCCTTAGACCTCGCTTTTAGTCACATTCACACTCGAACCTTCCAAATAATCCAATTAAATCACTGCACGGCACGAAAATACTTATCAGTTTAGTCACATCCTTATGTCGCGTGCTTTTAAAAAATCACGGCGAACCTTGGAATTCGAACGCTATTTAGCGCCCTAATATAGGCATGCAGTCTATATCGACGGGAAAATGGCGCCCGACCGACCGGTCGACCTTGCCGACGCGGAAACTTTGCACCCCCCCCCCCCCCCCCTCCCCCGTGATGGCCAGTCGTGTCCGCCACGGAGTGGCCGTCAGTCCTGGCGGACTTTCACCACAGAGTCGATGCAGTTTGGTCACCGTGAGGGTAACCATCAAAATAGGGGAGTTTTTGGGTGTAAGCTGTTGTGTTATCTACTGCAATACCTAATGACATATGAATGTTTTTGGTGACCGCATTTAGTTCAGAACTGACGATTTTGCAGTGATTTCAAAACACCATTGTAATTTTTTTCATAAAAACTTATCTACCGAAGTTCTTGCTCAGTTTTCGTGTTTTACGTCCACAGACGACAATGAAAACTTAAGTAAAAGTGTGCGACTGATCATGTTTAGGAACTTTCTGGTTGAACAAACTAACAAGTATTCATTAGGTAATGCGAGCATAAAACCTGTTTATTTGCTAGAGATAGATAAAGCTTGTTTTAAATTTCTCAATGCCGCCCAACAATGTGTCCTTACTCCTTTCCTTTCTTACTTTTGTCGGACTCCTTTATTGTGTAGCGTGTCGTCATGAAATAAACAAGAGCGAAGTGTAACTGAAATGTGAGGAGCAGCATGCATGAATTCCTGACATTCTTATCAGCTTTAAATGTTCTAGGGCATCTAACTAACTGCATACCTAATTGTTCAAAAGTGATTTAATTAATATTTTTGACTTTTGTTCCTGAATTCTATTTTTACTTTTACACCGTTATGCGCCGTTTCGTCACTTTCAACTAAAATTCAACACCACTTTTCGTAATTTGTTTTGAATAATACCAACATATTGGTGTGTAAACTTGTATGTTTTATCGGTCTCGGTATCGTAACGGTTATATCACAATCGTATTGCAGTTGTGCTGAAGCTGTAAGAATCTGTTCGAAACAAATGACTTGTGAATAACTACTAAAAGTAGCAAATGGAAAAGAAGGTTGATAACCCTGCTAACATGAATTAATTAAGAACAGTTTACGTATTCATCAACTGATTTCATAGCAGGAAAATGTAATATCCTGGATTTGAGGAAACGAAACCCATCATTGTTCGCATTCGGCTGAAATTTCCTTACTATGTCGACCTAAAGCCTTGAAAAAAGGAAGCGACACGGATGCAGCAGGATCCATGCCGGCCCTGTTTGTGGGATACATTATCTTTCCCAAAACTGATAGGCTTTTAAGCAAAGCGACGTACGGTGATCCATGTCGGCCCTGTTTGTGGGATACATTATCTTTCCCAAAACTGATAGGCTTTTAAGCAAAGCGACGTACGGTGAATAATAAAAAGAACTTTGCTAGTGCTATGCCTTCGAAAAAGATGCAAGCGCCAAGTAATAGGCGTTGCGATGGGATGTTAGGTATTAAGAACGCTTTAGATAAGTTAGTGGCTCTCGGCAGACAGCACATTTCATCAACGTCAAACACAATCACATTTTGTATTAAACGATCTCGTTGCACGTTGGGTGCGCGCAAAACAAGTCTACCGTTATCAAGACCAACACTTAAATAACGCTTACCTCAGAGACTTAATATAGACACATTCCTATGCACAAGCCCACGTATAGACGAAACAGACAACACTGACGGGGAACGTGCGCAGTGTGAAGCTAGTTTAAACAGAACTGTCCAACTTACAAACGCACATGTAACGCACGTAACGCACGCACAAGAATGAGTCACAACATCGCTGGATGGAAGCGACTTTTGTCGTAGGTACAGCCTCGGTGTCTCGTCAGCGGTCAGCCGGACGGGGTATTTGCCGAGCGGCAGGTACTGTGTACCGGGATCTGACAGAGATGGACAGGAGTCGGGGCGGGGTGGGCGACCCTACTACACTCCGCTGATGTAAGTGGTGACCTGGCGGCCGGCGCTCGGCTGGATGGGCCGCTTGTTGCGGATCATCTTATCGGTGAGCGCCTCGTTGGAGAAGATCTCGGCGTAGAGCTGCAGCAGGAACTCCCACTCCATCTCAAACTCGGTGGCCGAGACGATCCACAGCACCACCGGGTTGCACGGCGGCTTGGTCATGCTGCCGTAGTACATGTAGAACTTGCTCAGCGCCGTCTTCATCATGGCCTTCCAGGGCGTGATGTCGGCGTTGAGATTGATGGTGGCGCCCGGCATGGCCAGGTCCTCGAGGATCAGGTCGATGCTGAACAGCGGGAAGAAGGGAAGGCCACGCGGGTTGTTGTTGCCCGTCAGAGGCACGGCCACAATCGCCAGACCGCCCGGGTACTTCTTGGCCTCGTTATACGTACCGTACTTTGCGTTGTAGAAGACCAGCTGCGCCTCGGCGTCGTAGAACTTGCCGTTGAAGCTGTGCTCGGAGCCCTCGTCGCCCTGGCCCTCGCCCCAGTGCAGGTCCAGCTCGGCGAAGTGGTAGACTCCGAACAGGGGCCGGCTGTGAGAGCGCAGTGTCATCAGAGGACGGCTGACGTTCTCCGGCCGGATGAAGATCTTGATGGTGCGCCCGTTGTTGATGCCCTCGATCTCCGAGTTGCCGATGCCAGGCGCCCAGTCCACCTGGAGTTTCTCAACCCGGGGCTTCCCCGAGCCTGGAATGATGTTTATAGGTGATTGTAACGGCCCATCGCACAGCGGGAAGTAGCTCTTCCAGATGGAGGTGTTCTTGTAGTCCCAGAGTTCGTGCGGCGCATCTGCGTGCAGCTGCAGCAGTTGCAGCACCAGGCTCCAGGCCAGTACCATGGCGGCTCGCTCTGCGGGGTCCGGGTGGTAGTTGCTCGCGCCGGCGCACCACACTGCTGAGCTGAGCTCGTCAGGGGGCCACACTGACCGCCCCACTGCGGCGACCGGCTCTTTATGAACTGATGGCACCGCGCCGCGCGCCTCGGCTCGTCACGTGAGCGGCGCTTTTCCTCCGTGTCGGTCTGCGCGTGCCGGGCACGGCCGCCGCTGCCGGGAGTCACACCCGGCGGCGGAGCAGCTCCCCCCGCTGGGGGTGATCGGGAGGCGGCCGCGAGACGTCCGCGCCCCGACACTGGGAGTGTGCTCCCTGCACCCTCTGTGCCGTCCCCGCCCACGGCCAGCCTGCGGTTTCTGCGCTATGTCATCAGCGTCCCGGACATACCGCCAAAGACATGCAATGTGGCGCGGCGGTCTTCCCTTCTAAATATATCGGAGGCGGCTGATTATGCATGGAATGGAAGGCACAAATAAGCGTTTTCAGAGCTGTTACTTCGATTAAAGCGGTAGGTACTCATCTTGCACACTGCACAGTGTACTAATAAGTGAAACCTACCACCCGTAAGGGGGGGGCGGCGTTTCGCCCCCACCCCCTAAGATCTCGGAAATTTACCGGCCGATTTTCAAAATTCAAACGGCGTTCGATAGCCCCACCAGGGAACTAAGTACCTTATGACCAAATTTCATTGACTTCACTTAGGTCAAACCGATGGCGTCACAGGTCAGGTAAAAGGTCGGATTTTCACTGTTTACAGGCATTTCAAGAAATGTGTTGTGAAATCGAGTAAAATGGTAAATTATTGAAAATCATCGATGGTAAATTGTTCGTCAAACACATACCTTGCTATCTGAGGTCACTGATACCGGGTCATTTCACAGCGGTCAGGTCACTGGGGGTCACAATATTAAAGTGTCGTGTAATAAATGTTTTATGGTCCAGTTTACATAACAAATACGAGTATGTGGGTCAGGCAGCCCTTGGGGCCAGCTTAGGTTACGTTCTGGTGAAGGTCAGGCCAAGGTCAGGTCAAATTAAGTCAAATTAATTTCAAAGTTGATATTTTTGCATAACTCGGTATCGATTCGATGCAACTCGTCACGGGGAGTCTAATGGTGGTCTTTGTTTTGCCATACGTGGTCTATAGAATGGCCAAAAATTGAGTTTGAAAATTTGACGTCATCATTTTTGCAGTTTTTTTTTTCGCTATAACTTGGTCAAAAAACGAGATATCGATCTAAAATTTGGTATGGAGATAGGAGACGGTAGGTATACTAACATATACCTATATTCCGTTTTTTTTTAAGCTCAAAACTTTTTGGATTTTTTGGCTAATATATCAAAAAAATGTTTTTTTTATTTGTGGGTGTCAAAACTAAAAAAATCAAAAATCCTAGATAGCAGTTTTGTAGCACTGTCAATTTTACACTTCTTTGTCTTGATCATTTTTCTGTATCTTCAAAGCTGTAGGCCTGAGAGCTCTTCTCGCGAAGGTCTTTTTTCGGTCGAAAATGGCAGAAAATGACGTCATTACTGACGTCATTTGTGGCCAACCTATTATAGCCTCTGGAAAAATTTTTGGTCACAATGTGTAAAATTGATGCCCGGAGGGGTCCTGAAAGTTTGGTGGCGATATCTCTAGTCGTTTAGGAGATATCGACGGAAAAGCACAGGGGGGCCGTTTCGGCCTCCCCGTACTGGGGCGCGGGTTAACTAAAAAATCTGACACCTACCTACATCGTAGTTGTTCAATATTAACCTAGTAGGTAAACGACTTTTGAAAGTGATTCAATGCACACCTTTTGCCCGAAAGAGGCGCACGCGACCTTCTCATATTGATTTATTTACGTGCAGGGCTATTTACGTAGTGGTTTATAGACAGGTCTCTAACTAACTTCACCGGGTACCTACCTAGTGGGCCAATCTGGCTGTGAATCTGTCCATCTAGCCGTTCGGCCCCTGATTCAGCTAAAGTGTCGCAGAAAAGCAAGCGTGTAGTGTCCGCAGTACAATAATTCCAATGATCAAGCCAAGGTTCTTACGTTTTCTCCCAGGTCATTAGTTGACCTCCCAGATCAGGCTGACGGCCGACGGGCGACGGCCAAAGTCGAGAAAATGGAACCTGCTAGAACTTCCGAGTTAGAGGGGGATTGAGGTATGCATGATTGGAAATGAAAGAATGTTTAGGTAAATGTCTGATTTTTTTTTTCATTTCTAATGTAGGTACCTACCTAACCCCATCGGGAATGTATGTCAACTACAGAATGATAATCCACTCCTCAGAAGCTAGCAGTTGACCGGAGCGCTAAGTTGCGCCGTTTATCACGCGTGTCGTAAGCGTGTCGATTCACGATTGTGAGCATTGGGACAAAGCTTTACCTAATTTGTGAACTCAGCCCGTGTGACCCAGCCAGCAATTTTACTCCGGGCCCAAGCAGGCTAAAGTGCGGCTAGCCCGAGATTTTAGTCGGGCTAAAGTCGGCTAAGGCTTGGGCTAAAGTCGGCGTATGACACAAAAACGCCGACTTAAGCCCATGCTCCGCCGGAGGCATGCCCGCTCTGCGAGCTCCGGAACCCCGTAGTTTAGCCCTAGTTGTGCGACGATTGGCGGTAGCCCGATGTAAGCCCGAGCAAAACGTGACTGGCGCAGAAATGCGCATGCGTGAACAGCCGATCAAGTATGGCTTAACTCCGGCTTTACTCCAGTTAGCCAAAGGAGACAGCCAGCTTGATCAGCCCGCGCTCCGCCCAAGTTGAGCCTGCCTTGATTGCGCGGGCGGATGTCGGGCTGAGCTGCAGCTGGCCACACTCGGGCATAGCAGCGGCATACCCAAGGTCAGCCCAAGTAGAAAATGCATTGGTTTTGACCGGAGTGGGCAAACCCAAGCTAAGCCCAAGCTGCCCGACGTTTGCCATAGTTTAGCCCAAGCGAATTGCTGGCTGGGGATGCGGCACAGCCTACCACTCCAGGGAAATAATTGCCTGTGAAAAGTGGAACATCATTCTGTAGTCGACTATGCATATATCGTAATCGGCCTGATCACGATTCACGATGTTTGCTGTGTGCCTGATGCTGGTCTAAATCATGGGCTCCTCCGCCACCTGGGGATGGGGCCGCGGGATTCAGGACCCCTCCCCCCCCCCCCACCCACCCAATAATTTCACTTCCGTAATGAAGCCTGAATTATGAAGCCGGAAGGTATACCTTGGGTATCTAGGCCTAAGGGGCTGTTGGACCCCCCACGCCATTCCTGAGCGGTGGGCGGTGGCGATAGCCACTAGCCAGCCTGGGGCCGTATTCACGTCGACTTCGTAAGTCGATTTTCTTTCGTAAGTATAATTTGGTATTCACGTCGACACTTCTCAAGTTTTTATCGACGGAGTTCACGTGATTAAAAAATTTACTTAAGAAGTAGGTCAAACTTAAGAAAATTCTTACGAAAATGATCGACGTGAATACGGCCCCTGGTCTAAATTGCTGGCTACGCCACCGCCAGCCATTTAGACCTCTGAATCCTTGACGTGTGAGTCCTCTGAAGTCTTGCAACAGTCAACACAATGGCACTATGCACAGCATGATGCTTCACAAATCACTTCAGAAATAAAATAAAATGAGCCAAACTCACAATTGCTATTGACAGCGTGTTGAAGAGAAGAGCTCTCTGCATATGCGAAGTTTTTTTTTTAAATGCGGCAGCACTTTCTTCCTCATGAAAGTGATGCTTCCATATCCAGTACGATACTTCACGTGAGACATGAACAGCACTTTACGTGTTGAAGTACGCTATTGTGGCGGTGTGAACGAAACTTTAAAGCTGGTGCGTCTGTTTCGCCACGTTTCATCGATTTTCGCCGCATACAGTACAATTTCGCTTCTTCTGTTTACTGTTTGAGGGGGCGGAGGCGTGGCCTTGAGCGGGAAGCTGAGGTGATTTGGGGTGTACCTAATTTTCGAAGGATTATCTTCATTACATTGAACGGTTACGAGGTTGAGTTGGCGACTGTGGTGCAGTGATTCCTGATCATGATATTATTGTTGTACCTACTGGGTTACTTATGTTGATGTCAATAAGTTCAGTTGTGGAAATGGAACTCATAATTTTTCATTTTGTTTTGCTTTGATTTGATCTCACTATCCTCTTATTCCCCAGGACAAACAACCAGGCTGGAAGGTCATCTTCATTTGACTATAAGTTACCATTCTGGTAGATGATATTCCTGTTCAGTTGGTTAACTATTTGCATTTGTGGGGCTGAGCGGGTCTTCCTGGCCCTGCAGCCTGAGCCCCGAGGACAGAGTGGCGAGTGCAGAGCTTAACTTCAGCGGCTCACCACTGCAACTGGGATGCTTGCTAGACAGATAATCTCTGACAGATAATTAATATAGTTCTTTTTAACTTTGGTGCCTTGAATTGGTTTTGTTTTGTTTTGTTTTGTTTTGAAACTAATCCAACAATTGTAAAACATCATATATAGGATTGGAACTGAGCCACTTAGTATAAAAATGTCATGTTTAGGGTTTGTGGCACTTCTCAGTTTGACTTTATTTAGAATTTAATTTTTTTGATTTTTGATTATGAATCTCATCTTATTTGCTAATTATAAGCAAAATTGGGTACCCAGTTGTAAAGCAGGCATCACAATTGTTTTTTGCAACCAAGGAGAGATGCTATACCCAGTAATGCTTTCTAACCAAACCAAACCTGATCTAACCTTACTTACAACCTGAAACCTTCAACCTAAAACCTACAACTGACAACCTTAAACCTACCATCTAAATTAAAACCTAACACCTAGAACCTAACCTACAGGGCCCCTCCTTGGTTGCAAGAAATAAGTGTGATGCCTGCTTTACTACTACCCAAAATTGTTTTATATTAGCTTCTTAATTGCATTCAAATAGAGCCATTTAATTTGGTAGTCATAAAGCAGGTGTCACACTTGTTTTTGCAACCAAGGAGAGGTGCCATACCCAGAGATGCTTCTTTCTAACCAACCAAAACTATCCTAACATGACCTGACCTGACCTGACCTAAATCCTAAACCTACAACCTACAACCTACAACCTACAAACCACAGCCTTCATCTCCAGGTATAGCACCTCTTCTTGATTGCAAAAACGAAAAAGTGTGATGCCTGCTTTATTTGACTACCTTTAGTTTTATTGGTGTGCTGTAAATTTATATCCTTGATCAGTGTCATAAACTCACTTGTTTGCATGCTGCCTATCTGGTTTTCAGTTTGCTGGCAGTGGTTTATTAGATCAGCAACTGAAGTTACAAATCAGGATCACCTCAAAAACCTGATCCCACACTAAGATGGCTGATGGGATATGTCGTGAAGATGATAACAGAGGTGCAGGAAACAAGAAACTCACTAAGTCCAAGTCGGGCCTCAGAATAATTCCTATCAACAACACTGCAAGAAGTCCATTTGAACTGAAGGAGCCCACCTGGTCTCCAGATAAAGAGGTAAGAAGCTTTTATGGCTAAAGTACAATGTTTTGTGCCTACACAAGTTGGAGTAGTTTGGAGGAAATTAATCAGACATATTTCATTGGATTTTCATTAGGTAATTTCTAAAGAGGAAATCGTGAGAGTTGACCTAATTGTAACCTGAGACCAGTTCAATGAAAATATTCATGTGAAAATGTAAATGCACAGTATAATTAATATGGTGTGGTGGCACCAGTTTTTTTTTGCGCTTTTTCCGCGGAAAGCCTGCCCGAACGCTCCTTGTAATATTTCCCGATGTAGAAAAACGAAACGGTCCAAACGCAGCCTTGTATGTGCTAAAATGTTCGCACCATCTGAGGTCTGTGTTCACCACTGTGAGTGGGGGTCCAAATACCATCCATGCAGAACTTAGATTAACGGTCCTGCATTCTTTTCGTTTCAGAATCCTGAGTGCTCCAATGGCAAGTGTGGCCAGAAGTTTGACTTTCTGAAGCGCCGCCACCACTGCCGGCGGTGCGGCCAGATCTTCTGCGCCCAGTGCTGCCAGACGCGGGTGATGCTGCCGCGGATGTGCTTCGTGGACCCGGTGCGCCAGTGCTTCCGCTGCTCCGACATCACGAACGCCGAGAACGTCTTCTTCAACAGCAGTCTGAAGCTGCTCACCAATGGTACGTGTGCGGTAGCCGTTAGAACAAAGGTCAGCACTTGTGTAGAATCCCTGTCATGGTTACTCTGTCCTTGTACAGTAATGTCTTTACAATTTCTCAATATTGTATATGCTCCTCGCCACTGTTTTGACGGTTTTTACCGTAGTCCCGACAGTCTTTCATCGCCATCTTTGTTTGTTCTCGGTCCGGCAGGCGCCCAGTTTGACGTCTCGTCCCCGGAGCGGCCAGTGCTCTGCCAGACAGCCGTCACCTCCGACCACCGGTTCATACGGTTCGAGCCTACCCAGGGCCAGGCGCCGCCCGAGAGGGTCGAGGTGGCGCGCATCCTCTCCACAGAGGTCACACAGTCCACCATTGAATATGGTGAGTACTGGCTACGCGTGTCGGTCGTGCAGTTGATGATGCGGATCTTGACTTAAGTATGCTGGCTAGCTGTTGGTACCGTGTGTGAGTGCCCAGCAGCACACGACTTAGTAGATTGGTGGTGGATGCCGTTGGATTGTCCGGTAAGAGCGGCCGTCGGTGACCGATCATTGCCCAGTCTGTGATTGGGTGTGAAGTTTGATTGGGTGAAGGAATGGTAGTGTTCGCTAAACTGAAACTAGAGAAAACGTCGCCATTGATGCCTGTTTTGTTCCAATGTAGAATACTCTGAGGACGCAGACGGTGAGATTAATGTCGCACAACACGATCTGTGTCTGCTTCATCCTCATTATTGTCGAAACTTTTCAATTGTCACGGTCTTTGGATGACCTTGTATCGCTGTCTGGTCATTCGAATGTTTCGGTTTTTAATGCTGCATGTCCATCCTGGTGCTTTGTTTGAATGCTCCCAGGCATTTTAAGTTTTGAGTGCGTCCTTGACTTTTTGATTATGGGGGCATGGACGACAAAGCAGACCCTTGTGGTGCATGTAGTGGCATGTCACAGAAATGTCTCTGAACCGACAGCTGTTCGTAAATCTTAAACATGTTAAGAAAATAACATTAACTCCCAGCGAAAATCATAAGTAGAGTAATACGCACGACAATCAGGCAAATAAACCTTTCCGGACAGTCGCACGTCATAATTGACCCACATTACGAGTCGGACCGCGTGTTACGGGCTGATGTGCTATAAAATGTGCTGTGTATGGAATGTGCATTACATAAGTATTCGTGCACAAAATGCATGTCTGCTGCAACTGTATCCGTATAGTTACGCAATCGCTGATGTGCGACGCATTAGTTTTCTGTAAACGTAAAAGTACGGTGTTAGTACAGCCGGTATCCGTGCCACACAGGAAAACTTTTTGTTAAAAAATAGTCCCGTGCGTAACTGACTTTGGATCGTGAATGGAGATATCTCCGTTACATTTTTATTTGCTGGATCCTAGATACAGGTTGGCCAATTAAGTCGGCAGTGTCCTATTTGCACGTCCCATGCGGCCTTCCTGTTAACGAGTTTCGGTGTTTCAAGGGCGCTCTTTGTTTCACCAGTTTTATTTGGGTTAATTGTTAAGTGGTGCGGAAATATTCCGTTAAATTACAGCGCTTTTAGTTTCCCCATCGTGCCAGGAGATGTCATAGAACGCTTAGCTAAATAATGTTTCTCTGGAAACTTCAAAGCAGCTTCTTTTTGGTAGTTTTACAATTGTGACATTTTTAATTGCTCGTTTACAAATGAATGAATGTTTTTAGATAAAAACCAATAGCCATTAATTTGCTAGCCGCAATATGTTGCATGTCGAGCATTGCGCAGCTCCACTGTTCCAGATAAATTCTTCAGGCTCCGGCTCTTTTTATTTGATTTCATGCACAGTTTTTAGCATTGTTTATCGTGAAATGTTTACCAATCGTTCTTGGAATAGGTTCTACTTTATTTAGACTTTCTATTTGCGCTGTAGCTGGTGCTGGGACCGTGCTATCTTTTCTACCAATCAACCTATTGTGTCGGAGAAAGTATTCGCTTAGCGTCATCTTCGCCCTTCAATGACGTTATAATTATCCAACTTAATGATGCGGTGTCTTTCCTGAATCCTGTGTTTGTTTGTGATTGGCACAGTGTTGTGCAGCTGTTGTTTCTTTCTTTAAAATGTTTGGTACTACGTCTTTCATTGTGTCCACTTTCCCTCCACGGGACAGTAATTGCAGTTGGGATAATTCCTTGATGGCTGGTTTCGTGAAGGTGCTAAGGTGACTCTTCCCACTTAGACGCGCCGTGTGAGGTTTTAAGGCATGCTGATAGTATATTTAAGGAAAGCGTCTCTTACATAAACGTTCATCAACATAAACATGAACTCAGACGATTTCGTCATACGATACGATGTTAACTAAACGCGAAGCGAGGCTAGCTGTTGAAAATGTTCTGTAACAATGGTCACTGAATGCCGTGTATGGAAATCACTTCTGACCATTCATCGGTAGAACATTACCCGTACAGTAACTCTCCACTCTAAACCTATGAGTGCTTCACCCTGGTGACCCCCGCTGACCCGCCCCCATCCGGCGGCGTCCACAGCTCCGGGCCAGACGCTGCCCGAGGCAGTGGTGGTGCTGTACCGCGTGCCCGGGTCGGTGGAGGAGCGACAGGTGCGCCTCAGCGCCGGACCGCACGTCAACGACTGGAGACTGTCGGCCAACTGGATCGTGGCGCTGGAGAGGGTGAGAGAGGGAGTGAGGGGGATAGGAGAGCCAGCGAGACGCATAGTAAGCGCGAATAGCACGGGATGAATCGAATGAAGTAATCGAATAAATTTATCTTTGGGTTTCGGGTCAGTCTTCGAACGCGATGGTCAATGGTCGTTTCTGAAGACCGCTTGAAATGGTCCTTTCGCCGCGTTGGATATGCTTTTCTTTGGAAGAATATCCGGAAATTGACGTGAATTAGTGGTAAATCCATCTTCTCTCATCTCATTTGTGCTTGAATTCGTATGTGCTCACTGATTTCTGACGCATACCTATCTGTTTGTCCGTAGGCTCTGGAGCTGGTGTATGAGGGCCGTCAGCCCAGTCAGCACTAACTCCTCCCACACCGAGTCGTCTCGCCAGTCGCCCCCCGTGCCGCACTCTATGCAGTGAGCGGACCCCCGGCCAGCCCCGCCACCAGGCCTCCCGTTGGGTCTGCCGGTTGGCCGTGTACAGCGGAGGGGCGCCCTTGAACCGCAGAGGGGCACCGCTGGGAGGCTCTCCTCCGGTCATATGAGAGGCCGGCTGCAGACTGCGATTGTTTCACGTTACGCTAAACCCGATCGGCTGGTTCTGTTTTCCGTGGTTGGAACGGCCCATCGCTCTGCTAGAAATCGTATAAAGACGGATTGGCATGAACCGGGGTCACGACTGACCGAAGTGTAACTATAGCAGGTACGGTACCGCTGAGACATGTGTGTCTCACCCAGCGGCTCGTACCGTGGGGCCATGCATGTTAAATCGCCGAGCCGTGTGTAACTATGTTGTATAGCGCCCCTCACCAGTTAATGTGCTGTGTATACTGACGGCGATGGAAGCCGATGAAACTGATGATATTGACGTCTTCTCGCGACTTTGTGAGTGGTTGAGAGATCGCTCACGTGTCCGCCATGTTGTTATTGATATGGTAATCGGCTTTGTTATCCTTTATGCTGACGTACACTGCACTGTTATTGCCGTGTTTATTGGCTTCCTGTAATGATTTTGAATCTCCTGCCTTTTATCTCTATACTGACCAATTTCGCTTACGATTGTGAAGCGTCTATTGCGGCCATTCTTTCTTTTCTTGTGCCATAGCCGGTCGTCTGATGTTAGTTTAGTTATCAGTGTCGCAGCGGTGATATTGCTGCGACACCCGGTGTTTATTCGCCGTCATTTACCATAGTTTATCGCAGGGTGTACCTATGTCCGACACAAGCTGAGTGTCGGCTCGTCACGAGTGAGATTGGGGCTTTCGCATGTTGAGAGAGAAGCGCCACGCTGCCCGACTTCCGAAGGAGTTTGTTGGCTTTCTCAGCGTCTATGTGTGTGTGTGTGTGTTAATGCCGGCTGTTTTTGGCGACATGTGAGGACCTCGGACGGTGACGTGAGGACACAAATGAACAGCCCGCTTCCACAGCTGTGCAGGGACGGCCACAGGTGCGGCTGCCGCATCTGGTCAGCCGCCTATCCGGCCACCCAGCCGTCGCCGACGGGCCGATTGCAGGAACTGATATTTGTCTATTTTTCAATAAACTGCGTCTGCTATGTGAGTCATTGTCCTCAATGTCGGGTTTATAGCTTAGGGTGATGTCATTCGAAGCTTCGATGCCTATGCGACTGTTTTCCTGGAACTGAAGAGTGTTCAATATAGCAAACCGTAGCTGGTTACGTAGATAGACACAGCTGGTCCCCGGTTAGCCATCGTAGTTCATTTTTGTAAAATATTAACGCTTACGAGTTTTACGTACGTGATGTCGACGTTATGGACAGTGAACTGATTCAATGCGCCAGCTGGCCCCACAAGTGCGTGGTAATGCGGAAATGTCATTCACTGTCAGCTTCGTTGAATCCGATTCCTTGGAAAAGGTATCGCAGCTGCCATTAAAACTGAGCCACTCCGCATTTAGCCTTCCTGTACCGAGGCGAGGTCCTCCTGGAGTTCGCGAGTTTCCGCTGAATGTTCGAACGAACGACGCTACACTGTACTGAAGCAGGCTGCAGTTTCTCGTCAGTGCTGACTGCGAAACTCAGGAGTCACGCCGAGTCAGAGATTGCGTCAGTATATCTCGATCGAGTGTATGCGGCCGGTTCCAGGTCCTTGGCTGATACTGACCGCTATGCTCAAATATTTTCATTTGGTTTGGCATCGGTGGATGAAGAGCAGGTGGAGGGAGACGACAAAAATAACCGATAGTTTGAAAGAAATGAGCTTAATTTCCAGATTTCGACTATAGCAACCTGCCAACCAACTGGATCTTGCAAACATGTTTATTTTCATCGGTCGAACTTTCATATACATAATACAGTGCTGGGCATACGTACAACGCATGCGTACGGGTTCTTACAATCGCGAATAAATATGCAAACATCAGAAATAACATTTTGTGACCCAATGCAGCCACGTATCACTTACCGCACATATAAACACTGACATTGCTGTGGCCCACAATGGAATGAATGACCTAAGGTCCTAAAATATCGGGTAAACTTTGTGACCGAACAGAAGAGAAAAAGTGCATGGGGCAGCAGGAGTTATACGCACCACATGACAAAGTCCATCATCAAAGGTAGCCCCTGTAGAGCATCGTCGCTTTGGTTGTGGCAAATTTCCGCCGCTTAAACCTAGAATATCCGGTAGATATACAGGCGGATTGGCACTTCACTTTGTGGCAATTATCAGTATAATCCTGAACCTACTGCTCTGTGCTATTTGTGATGATAGAATAGCATCTACGTACTGGTGCTCGGAACAGAGAACTTAACAAAGAGGAAGTCAGTGAAGGTGACCACGGAAAGATGGCTCACTATACAGTTGTTACGAGCGAGCGAGCGCAGCGAGCGAAGTGAGTCTTTTCAATATAACGGAAAAATCTCAGTATGAGCGGCCCGGCCCGGCCTGTAACGCTTTTGAGAGGCTTATATCTCAGCAACCGCTGGACCGATTGGCCTGCGGTCTTTTTTGTTGGGTAGCCCCATCCCTTCTACCCCGTAATTGACTACTTTTGATACATCTCAGTGACCGTCGTGGCACGTGGCACGTGAAAAGTCAAGGGTGTTCAAGCTGTTTTGCAAAAGTAGTGATTTTGAGAGGCTCATATCTCAGCAGCCGCTTGGGCGATTAACTTGCGGTAATTTTTATAGGGTAGCAGCATCCCTTCTACCCAAAATAGGATACTCTCGATGCATGTGGGTCACCCCCAGTGCACGTGCAAAATACAACAATAAGAGGTGCCAAATTTGTTCCCATTTCAGTAACTCGGTAATTACTGGGGCGATTTCGCTGAAACTTGGCATACAGGTAGGCACCCACCAGGCAATGCATTCCCATGTGTTGCGGTTAGGGTGCTACTGCACGTGCGCACGTGCAGGGGGCGTTTCCAGATCTCGAGAACGGCTGGGCCGATTGCGCTCAAATTTAGTACACAGTTGGGGACCAGTTAGTAGGGTGCCGTGCAAAAGTCATTTTGGACCCCGTTTGCACGTGCGCACGTGCAGAATGCCGCTTCCAGATCTCAGGAACGGCTGGGCCGATTGCGTTCAAATTTGGCACACCGCTAGCGACCAGTTAGAAGGGTGCTTTGCGCAAGCCAGTTGGAAGCACCCTCTCGCCCTTCCGCACGTGCAGGGCTCACTATCTCGCTCGCTCGTTCGTCGCCCAAAAGGCGTTTTACTGGTGAATAGTGCAATAAAACTGAGTGGTCGCGAAGGCTTACGAAGTCACCTTTCAGTAACGGCCAGCCAAGGCTATACAAAACAGCATAGACGTATCGTGAGGGCAGTCATATTACAACGTGCGCACAAAATTGTCCCCGTGACAATGCCCAGTAAAAACTACATTTTACATGTTAGTCACTTGCACCTTCCCCACATCGTGAACAGCATCACAGCATCCGCCACCGTAACAAAACTCCACCGTAACAACGTACCAGACACCGTAACAATCCCGTCACACCGTCACATACAGCACGGCTGTTCTGTGTGTCTGGCATAATACCCACTTTTTCATGTGTCTGATCCCGCTCAAACCGGCCTACCGATGACAGCTTCCAGAAACCGTAGCAGTGCGCTCAACAGCACAGTATTCTTGAACCAGACAGCGTCGACTTCGCCTCTGCAGCCAGCAAGTTCCTTTCCTCGGCCGGGTGAGGCTGGTTTGAGGCACGGGGTCCGACTTCTCACAGTCACGGCTGGGGGCTGAAGGTGCGATGGAAGTCCTCGCCGTGAATCTCGGGTGTGTAGGTGAACAGTACGATCATCACCCACAAATGCAGCAGGCACTGGCGCAAAGCGGGAGGAAACATCAGTTAAATACGCCAACAGACAGTGGTTGAAGGCAGATGGCAAAACACTTACTATCCATATTGACCAGCGGGTCGAGTTTAATAGCTGCAATCAACAATACAAAATACGATCAAACACAAATTAATGAGAAAGCTATGTGATGCACATTGCGCAATAACAATAAAGCAGTACGGGTTAGCTGATACTATTGTAAGAACAACGCTTGGAAAAGGTCCATTTTGCTTTCAACATTCCTACATGGAAAGTCGACCGCATAGAAACATAAACTGAATAGCGGGCCACAACTGTCTTGATGTCCAAAGGCGCTATATCTTGATTAAATCTATGAAACGGCGAGCGAGGAACCACGTAACAGCAAATATAGACACGGATCCAAAGGCGTTCGTGTTTGGCACTGCTCCAAACTAGCACCTAATCCTCGCCTCGCTTTCACTTTCGCCGAAACAGTAGATCGATAGAGTAAAATTTAGCGGTGTGTGATGCTATCTCAACAACTTTCAACTAGCCCATGCCCGAATACCTATGTACGGCCCTGGTTAAAATGCCACTCCTAAACTTCAGCATTGTGGAAAAAGCATTCCCCTGCAACTTACACATGTATGAAGTCTACCCCATCATCTTTCTTCATCACAAGCGCAGCAACACCTTATTGCCGAGCCCTTCACACACTCTGCCCTTTCTCCACGACCCAACCATCCAGATTCAAAACCATCCACTATTCCCCCTCCCCCGCTCATCCACCCCCACAAAATAAACAAACACCTCATTAACCACCCCTTCTCAATCATTTTTCCAAGCAGCCCCACACCCCTCCAACTCACCATATACCCCAGCACAAAGATGCGCGCTATGGGGTACCGCTTCAGGAAGACGCCCATTCTGACGGAGCAGGCGTCCAGGCTCGAGTAGGCGCGCTTCACTCTCCTGGTGACGCTGCCATCCCACGGCGTCTCGGCCAGGAAGGTGGGTGTCCGCAGCCGCACCGAGTCGGAGCCGACCTCCGAGTGGTACGGAGCCCGCTCCGAAGGCGGCGGGGCGCACCCCTCGAGCTCCCGTACCTGGGTCTGTGGTGGGCAGAGGGGAGGGAGGGGGTCAGGGATTTGTGAGGGTAACTGTGATGCGAGCCTGTCGTGTGTTAAATTATTGTAGCCTCATAACTGCACAAAGAGTCGTGACCGAGCATCGTACGCCATATCCACTAGAGTTAGTACAAAGATTGAGCCATAGAAAAGAAAAATTGTAGTGGGGCTAAGGAATGAATAAACGTATGAATGAATGGACGAATAACTAAATAAATGAATAAAAGAATGAATGAATAAATGAATGAATGAATGAATGAATGAATGAATGAATGAATGAATGAATGAATGAATGAAGTAATAAGGAAACGAAAGATACACCAGTGTTTGCTAGATCGATTGTAAAAGTGAGTCTCCAAATAAATATCATCGAATCGAGACGTAATGTCTATAAAAGCCTGTAATATAGACTACCATCGCAAGGCCAATCCCGCCGGCATCCCGACTGACCTGTGACCGCTCCAGCTGCAGCTGCAGCGACTTGTTCTGCGTGCTCAGGGACTCGATGTTGGTCTGTTTTTGTATCAGCGCCTCGGTCAGTGACCTCAGACGGGTCTCTAGCTCCACCTCTGTAACACGGAAGAGAGCAGGCGTCAAGGATGAATCCGTGAATGTGACGCAAGTGAAACTGCCTCTCTTTGAGGACCTAATATGTCACCAGCGTAACTTGTCACCGTATGCACTATGCATTCGCATAGTGTTCAGCAAAAGAAGCCCCAACCTCTGTAAACTGCATTCAAAGACGTTTCCCTGTGGTTTGTTTCCTGCAGATTTCCTTCGGCCGCCGTGGTTCGAACAGGACGTAGGACGGCGGCAGTTTTTCCTCAAAGGTCGATGTCCTGTTCGGCGGCTCGTCTGCCCAAAGTGCCGTGTCCGGCTCCCCGCTCCGCTGGCGTCCCAGGGGGCGGGGAAGGGCTAACGACCGTGTAATGTGGGACGGAGACCCCATTTGGCGTCCGTGACACCCTTCCTCCGGCATAGTTGACAGGTGCGTTACGTAAGGCCGCGTGTCTGCCCGTGTGTGCGTGAACCGAGGTATTCGGTGATCTAGGTTGATGGCGTCTGTTTGGTTAGCGGCGGTAATTTTGCCCAAATTAACTGCACAGGACCCGGCTAGATCGACACGAAAGAAGCGTTAAAAAGCCATCGGGATTTCCGTGGCACCAGTCAT